CGTGAAATGTCGTCGGACCTCTTTTCAAGCGAAATTTTGCGAGAGAAGCGTGACGTTCCTCTTGCTCGGTTATACAGCGTGACATTGGACAGGATTAACGTTATACACGCAGTCGAAACGCGTCTTACGCGGTTAATCTTCGATCGGTGTTCTGCCTGCGTGTTCTCCTTACATTTGTCACTTGCTTCGCACTATTTTTCCTTTCACGAAAAAGAAATTCAAGTTTTTTTGTGGCAGTTGGAGCAAGGAACTCCTATCCAGAAGAACAGACGAATCTCGCATCAAGATTTGAATTGATTCGATTTAAAGAAAATTAGTTCGTGGATAACGGTGAACTCGTTTTGCTTCTCTGTTTTTCCCGTACACGTTTATTATAGGCAAAAATTTCGAAAAATGGTTCTTACAAATCTCAAAGAGAATGAAATTCTACGTAAAAAAGTTGTATAGACTTTTTCTTTATCTTCCATAATAAAGGTTTGTAGAGTTATGGAAAGAGTGGTGCCTCGGGTTGATACACTCATGTTGCTTTTCTGTTTTTCCATTACATATTCACTATTTGCAAAAATTTCGAAAAATGATTCATACAAATCTCAAAGAGGACCAAATTCTACGTAAAAAAGTTCAATAGACTTTTTCAATATCTTCCTCAACAAAGGTTTTTATAGTGATTGAAAGCGTGGTGCCCTAGCTCGCTGAATTTCAGTGTGCGCCACTGCATCGAACGTAATACGCGACGCACCTTGGATCTCCCGGAGTTCTTGAAGCAGAAATATCCTTGTAAAAAAGGGGCGTGAAAGAATGTTGCGCGAAAAGAGCAGCTATGAAGTGGTCAAGCGTGATTTGCCGCCCCAAAAAGGACAATCTTTTGCGGTTCAGCGATCGTGCATTAGATAATCCATGTTATCCCAATCACGTTCAACCGTGAACAGGCCTCGGTGCATTGGGTCTATTCGCTACTGTAAATGTTCCTCTTCTTCTCTATCTTTCTCACTCATTTACATACATTTTTTAAATACCATATCAAATATTATATATATCATTATCTTACACATGCACAATTTACGCGATAGTATAGCGCATATAAATTCCATCTAATTTTTATTCAAGTTAAAGTATGCTAGATCGAGTGACGAATGAATGAAACAAGCCAATTAGCAACGAACTCTATATTAATGTTATTAATTAACTTTTTAAATCGATGGCCAATCGACGGGTCTTCGTCTGGCACTGAAACGGAAAGTATTTTCAAAGTTCCCATTATCCAAATAATGCTAGGTTCATCGTTCTACCAACTCGATTCATATTCTCGAAATTTTCACCTCGATTTGGCACACTTGTTCATTGCATCTTCGCCAATTGTTTATACCGATATTCGATGGATAGATCGTCTGGCATTCGCAGACATGTCATTATCAATTTCTCGAAATTGTGTCGTTGTTGCTTCAGCGTTAAAATACTCGAGTAAAGATACTGAAATTGTGGAATATTTGTTTATAAATTATTCAAGCAGTCCTGAATCTAAGTAAACAATACCAAATTAGAAAGGATAGTAGAAAGGATAACGTTTAATTTAGGGCCAATGGAATCCTCTCAAATTTCAATAGATTGTTACAAAGATATTTTTAAACATATTTTTATGAAAATTGGCAGAAATATCGTTCAAACTTGTTCGATCTTATTCGATTAAAGCTGCATTCGAATGAAATTTTATTCGTTTAAATCTGTATTCAAATGAAATTTTATTCGATTGAATCTGTATTCAAATTAAATCTTATTCGATTGAATCAGTATTCAAATGAAATTTTATTCGATTAAATCTGTATTCGAATGAAATTTTATTCGATTGAATCTGTACTCGAATAAAATTTTATTCGAGTTATAAAAAGATATTTGTAAACATATTTCTATGAAAATTAGCAGAAATATCGTTCAAACTATGCACTTTGAATATATCTACAAAAAATGTACATTACACACCTAGCATAGTTAAATAAAAATCCCAAACATCAGTACCTATGTTTCACCTATAAAAATCACTACTTTTCGATTTTCAATTTAAAATTTATTTCAGACTCGAGTAACCCGATTTGCGGAGCGTAGTGTAAATAAAACTATTTTTGCGAGAAAGCGTATTATCGCGTTTCGGTCGGTCCCGTTGTTTATTTCTAGCGCGTTGATGAATTGATCGACTGATTAATCGCGACGGAATCGGTTTAAATGATTAACGGGAACGCGTGAATTGCAGTACCGGCGGGAAAAGCGCGACTTTTTCGAACGTGTTTCGATTCATCGATCGAAGACGCGAACAGATCGTTTTTCACGTTTCGAAAAGCTTTTATCAAACAATCGCTCGGGTTTTCGCTTTCGAACGATTTTAATCTGCGTTTGAATCACCACTTTATTTGTACCGTGTTATTTTATTTACGTATGCAGAAGATTTTATGCGGACCGATGGGTTAGACGAGTGCAAATGGCGACTAGATATTCACCACTGACAGTTCCGCTGGAATATTTCAAAAGCAGTCAGAAATTGAAACCACTCGACACCCAAAAGGAGAAGCGGAAAATTGGAGATGGCGACGTTGCGAGGAAATTATTTAAAAGAAACAGGTTCTCGGCGATCGATAAATTCGTGATGATCGAGTACTGGTATCTCGAATCTTCCTGACGGAATAATTCAGTACCCTTTCCCAGTCAGCGTGGTCCCAGAAATCTAAGAATAATTCGCGAAGCCCCGGTGAGTCGCCTTTGGAGGCGCCATTTCGGAGCAGAAACTGTCCAGCGGATATTTATGCGAGGTAGATAAGAAACGTTACGTCAATTTTGTTTCAAAATTATGCCGGGGGTATTTTCTCCGCGAATGTCCTCGTGTTGGTAGCCGTCTGTGGTTTGTTCAATGTCAGCGACAGTAGTTACTTTATTTTTTGAAGATTCTACTATTTTTTTAATGGAAAATTAAATCACTAAGTGTTTCATGACATGACAGACTTGGGAAGAAAGGACTCCAATATCGTACACTTTTTTATAACACTCTGTAGTTTACTGGAAAATTGAGTTAGATATTTTACGGTTACATAAAATTACACAAAAATATGTTTAAAAATATGTTTTTTATGTATTATATTTAGTTTTGATAAATGTCCAGTGTGCGGTATTAAGAACCTATGGGATAATGGGGTCCCTTCCTCTACCAGCAGACAGGGCGGAAGTAGAACTGTAGAGTGACCGCTTTTTTATTATGCAATCTGGAAGGATTTCTTGTGAATCCTGATGTGAATGCTGATGTAGATGGTGATGTAGATGTTGATTAGTTTGTGAAGCTTGTTGGGATTGGTTGGAAGATTGGTGGAAGGGCTATTCTTTTGTTTCTTAGTTAGAAAGTTGATAGATACTCAATACTTTATAATTGGTGCATAGTTCTGTGCCTACTTTAATCATCTGAAGCTATCTGAGTCACCTCGACAGTGGTTAATGACTACCTAGTTGATGTTTAAAATAATCATTTGTGAAGAATCGATTTAAAAGAGTTTCATGGACTGTAGGGCCTCGAATGATAATTCATGAACTTCTAGGTAATAGATTTGGAGGATCAGTACCCTGATATTAATCAAAAGTTGTTTGTATATTATTGGGAATTTCATCAAACATCTCCAAAAATGGGAAAAGAAGAATTAACTCCAGAAAAATAGACAACGAATGACTGATAACCTAATTCAACCTGCAGGTAATAGATTTGGAGGATCAGTACCTGATAATAATCAAAACTTGTTTGTATATTACTGGTAAGTCCTTCAAACACCTCCAAACTGAGAAAAGAAGAATTAACTCCATAAACATAGACAGCATAGACTGATAACCTAATTCAACCTGCAGGTAATAGATTTAGACGATCAGTACGTGATATTAATCAAAAGATGTTTCTATATTACTGGCCACTCCTTCAAACACATCCAAACGTAATAAAAGAAAAATCAACTCTAAAGACGTAGACAATCAACTTCTTACAACCCAATCATCTTCCACTTAACAGATTTAGACCGTGGTATCTGGTACAATCCAAAACTTGTTCTTATATCTCTCGCAACTTCATCAAACACCTCCAAACCTAATAAAAGAATATTCAACTCCAAAAACATAGACAACAAACGACCCACAACCTAATCAATTTCCAATTAGTAAATTTAGACGGCCAGTACCTGATACCAATCAAAAGTAATTCCTACATCTCTTACGACTTCATCAATCACCACCAAACCTGAGAAAAGCAAAATCATTTCTAAATACTCACAACCTAATCAACTTTCAGTTAATGGATTGGAATGATAAGTACCTGACAGACCTCCAAACACCTCCTAACCTAAGAAAAAAGAAGAAATCAACTGCAAAAATACAGACAATCAACGCACAATAACCTAATCAACTTCAAATTAATCAACTTCAATTCTGGAGGATCAGTACCGGACACCAATCAAATCTAATTTCTTCATTTCTCTCCTCCAAACACCTTCAAACCTAACTAAAACCAAAAACTCAACTCCAAAACCCTATCCAACCAACAACCTTCACCCCAACCCAACCAAACCAAACTCCTCCATCAAACTCTCCACACAACTATCCCCCGATCTCCATTCCCTCAAAACTCTAGCCTCCAACCGCTCCGAAAAACGCCCCACCAAACCATCTACCCATCCAAAAACAACCAAAAACCAAATTCTTGGAGATCGACGTACGCCACCGCGAACCGATTTGCTCTGTCAGGGACGCCGCGCGTCTCTCGGTGGCTGTTCCCATCGGGCGTCGAGGACCGACGGCGGACGTAGGAGGCGCGCTCTATCGCGCGAGAGAGAGGGAACCACTGCAACAGGAGAAAGAGGCGAACTAGCAACGCGTGGAGGGGGCAGGGTACGAATCGATTAGGTCTGTCGGCCATTTTGTTGGCGGCTCGAGCCGACCAAGTGTCCCGCAGCTGCCCCCAGGAGGCGTGGAAGCAACATAACGGCCACCATCGGGGGAACGAATGGTTCGACGTCGGCGTGGAACCGCGGCACGGATCCTCGCCACGGGATAGGACGTGCTCGAGGAGCTCTGGTGGTGGAAACCGACTTCGGAGTGGGGTCGAAAAGGTCGACCTCGAGGGGTGGGGGCAGTCGGGTGGTTAGGTTGGGTTCTATAGAAGTCTAACCGGCAGTCAGTGCCTCCCAGGGCCCCGCGCCGTCAGTTTCGTTGGTGTTGTGTGTCGTGTAACGTGTCCTCTCTCTCTCTCTTTCTCTTCTCTCTCTCTTTCTCTCTTCCTCCTTCTCTCCCTCTCTCCTCTCCACCCTGTTTCCACCGATATATATACATTTTTTTCCTTTTTTGTTACTCTCGTCACGCTACCACCACGATCGACGCCCGCGAGTGATAAGGGAATAATCGTGCACGCGCGCGACTCTCGACGCTGGGTGACGGATGGTGCGTGTCCAGGAATCCGAGCCCAGGGTCACGGTTCGCGAACCAACGATCCAGGCGATCCTCCAGGTGGGACTAAGAGTCAATCGAGAAGGCCCATCCGGAACGGAGGATCGCTGAAGAGGATACAGATCTGCGCAGAAACGACGCAAGAATGCGGAGGATCGATTTGGAGTCCCGGAAAGGTGGCTGGAAGCCTTCGGAATAATCGTTGTCGGTTCGATGCGAGTGAAGACTATCGAAGGAGTCGATATTGGTGGATTAAACGCGAGTGACGGAGTCCAGGGATCGAGGTGGCCCGGGTGATGACAAGGTGGAGAGAGAAATTTCGTCGGGGGAGCAATCGCGGCGAGCTTCCGGGGGCTAGGAAGCTTCTTGGAGGACGTTCTCAGAACAAAATGGCGTGGGCGCCGGCGAACCGTCCTCGGGATCCGTCGATCGGAGCGTGAACTGACTCCGTGAATGAAGCTTCCTCAATCCTGGTTACTTTTGAACTCCTGGGAACTTTTGAGAAGGGATTCGATGATCCAACCAGAGCCTCCGAGTGTATTCTTCATTTCTGGAAAATATTCCAGACCTAACTCAGACCTAACCCAGGTGAATCCTCAGTTTCCGAGTGGTAACAGTGACTCTGAGTGAACAGTGTCTGAACTAAACATTCTGAAACTCCTCGAGACGCCTTGAGAAACCTTAAAAAATCCGCTTGGGTCACTGGAGACCCGTTTTAGTAGTTCTTCGGAGTTCCGGAATGATTCCAGTGTTCTCGGGGTTGTGAACGGTGACTCTTGCCTCTGGTCTCTGACTAGTGACTTCGCGGAGTCTTCGTGGTTTCGCGGGGGATCGTCGAGAGCTCGGGAGTGTCGAACTTTTACTAAAGGTTATCGAGAAGAGGTAAGTACGACCTGCGGTCGTACTTGGCGCGAAGGCTTCAAGATTGCTCGAAAATCGTCGAAGGAGGTGCGCAGGGCTGGAAGAGCGATGGAAATCGGGGGTGCGGCGATGCAGAGGTTGGGCACTGCCGGGGGGCCCGGGCCCCTCAGCCTACAGGGCCCTCCAAGGTCAGTGAAAATCTCACCCGTTAACATACAGGACGAGCCTGGCGACCTCACTTCCCAAAGTACGTATGTTATACATGTATTTCCTAGTTTTTATTAGAGTGACGATAGTGGAAGTAGAGTGATGAATGATGCGGTTAGGGAGAGATGGGCGAAATCGTAGGTTTTGAATAAATCTGAAGTTTGTGAATATATGACGGGGCAACTTGTTTTGTTTCGAAATTTAATCAAACGATAGGCAGAACATTTATGAATATAGAAGGTATGATATCATCAGTTACGTTTATGTTCTAATTATGAGGCAATGGTCACCTTGTCTCCTTTTAAATTTCATCAAATTAGAGCAAGAAAATTCATGAATACAACAGGCTATGATATCAAGAGTTAGTTTATGTTATAATTATGAGAAAATGATCACCTCGTCTTCTTTTAAATTTAATCAAATTAGAGCAAGAAGTTTCATAAATATTCCAGAGTATGGTATGATTAGTTACATTCGTGTTTTAATTATGAAGCAATGGTCACCTTGTCTTCTTTCAAAATTTAATCAAACGATAGCCAGAAAATTTATGAATATGTGAATGATCACTATGTCTTCTTTCAAAATTTAATCAAACGGTAGCAAGAAATTTCATAAATATTCTAGAGTTTGATATCAACAGTTACATTTATATTTTAATTATAAAGCAATGTTCCTCAAATCTGAAGTTTACCGATATGTTTGTCTTGTTCCCTCTTTTGAACATTTTCCAAGAAGGAAAGGAGACAAACACATCGGCAAACTTCACATTTATTCGAAGCCTAAGGTTTTGTCAATCTCTACAATTAGGTGAACAAGTAACTAGTGAATGATGGGGGGGCCGACTTGTTGAGCGTAGTTTGTAAAGTATAGTTTCTAGTGTAGAGAGCATTCGAGACATTTATGTCCGGAGTACTAAGGGGCTCTTTCAGGTTTGTAGGAAAGAAAGTTAAGGTTTGATTTAGAATTCGCGGGGAGCATTGTTATAGGTAAATACTGTTGGAGTTAGAGTGAAGTTGGAGTGACATGAAAATTGCGCCATTTGTATTATTTTATTATCTCTTGCTTTCTTTTGTATTTAATCGAACTGTGGAGAGGTAATTCCGTAAATATTCCTGACTGTGATGGGAATAATCTATGGTGCAATTATGAGGCAAAGGCTAGGTTGGATACTTTTTTAATCAAATTGTAGCAAGGAAATTCGTGAATATATGAATGGTCACCTTCTTTCAAAATTTAATCAAACGGTAGCAAGAAAATGCATGAATATAGAAGGTATGATATCATCAGTTACGTTTCTGTTCTAATTATGAGGCAATGGTCTCCATGTCTTCTTTTCATCCAATTAGAGCAAGAAATTTCATAAATATTCCAGAATATATCATTAGTTGGATTTGTGTTTTATTTATGAGGCAATGGTTACCTTTGTCTTCTTTTAAATTTAATCAATTTAGCAAGAAACTCTTTAGTTAAATTTATATTTTAATTATGAGGCAATGCCAGCTTGACTACTTTCAAATATAATCAAATTGTAGCCAGAAAATTCGTGAACATATGAATAGTCACCTTGTCTTCTTTCCAAATTTAATCAAACGGTAGCAAGGAAATTCGTGAATATATGAATGGTCACCTTCTTTCAAAATTTAATCAAAGGGTGGCAAGAAAATTCATGAATATACCAGGCTATGATATCATCAGTTAGTTTATGTTATAATTTTGAGGGAATGATCACCTTGTCTTCTTTTAAATTTAATAAAATTAAAGCAAGAAAATTTATAAATATTCCAGAGTATGATATCAACAGTTGGGTCTGTGTTCTAAGTACGAGGCAGTGGTCACCTTACCTTCTTTCAAATTCAATCAATTTAGCAAGAATCTCATCAGTTACATTTACATTATAATTATAAAGGAATAGTCACCTTGTCTTCTTTTAAAACAAATTATACCAATAAAATTCATAAATATTCCAGACTATCCCAGACAGATTCAACAGTCTCGTCTATATTCTAATTACAACTCAATCTCCAGAAACCAAACATTTTCCATCCGTGACCCGATATAATCCCCGAGAACCCACTATTACCAAAAATAGTAACAAGACGAAAATATTTGAAATTCGAGTTACACAAATACTTATACAAAAAGATCCTCCGAGACGTGCCTGCTAGAAATGTAACTCGTGTCAATGTAAGTTGATCCTGACACTACCGTCTGTGCGGTCGCCAGAATTGTCTGCTGTCAGAGTATCAACAAAGAAATTCTGTTGACGTATTCATTTCGTGTCCAGATCCCGTTAACGTCAGTTAGTAACTTCGGGTTGAGTCTGTATTTAAATCTAATCTACTCCAAATTTAGCGATCTAGCTAACCTGACAGGGACCGGGGACACTTTGGTCAGCTCGGCGCTCTACTAATGCGATTTGGACAGCTGAAAATTGTACAGGTAGTTAAAGTTGTCCAAAAGACTCTTAAAAAATCTGGAAAGTTCCCAATAGACAACTATAATGTTGGATTTTTGGTTAGAGAATTTTTGAGAGGGTGCAAAATTTATTTTATTTTAGAATTGTACAGTCCTGCAGATTTTTTCAGTTATCAGTGGTCTAAATTAATGTCGAAATCGTGATTAGAGCTAATTCTGTCCCCGGACTGGCACGACTGAAGACTGATACTCTGTGACTCCAATGTACACGTCACTCTAAACTCATGTTTTAAGCGAGGGGAGCTTATCTTAGCGATCGTAGCTGCCTTTTCCGAAGCGGCGACTTTGTAGTGTCTATTCCAAGAACAAAATTGATTACTGTTGGTTACAGACATTCGATGTTCCGGATTAGGTTTAAGATTACTTTAAAATCGGTTCAGAACTGTTCGGGATCAGCCACCATTTTGCATTGCTTGGCGCCATTTTCTTGTTCACTTTTGCCGGTAAAATTTGACCTTCTGAGGTTTAGGCGTTAGAGAAATGTCATGTTCGATGCTATTATACCTCGATATGTTAAATTCATTTGTTCCAATACCAGTATAAACATTTAGATCTAATACTTTTCTCTATAACAAATACTAAATATTATCCAACTTTTCAATAATCCTTTACCCCTATGTTTCCAAAAATATGAGAACAGAATGACCCGACCAACGTTCGCCAACGCTCCCTAACGTTCGCCAACACTCGCCAACGCTCGCCACTAGTTTACAAAACAAACAAACAAAAAATGTACATTCAATGCCACAATTCTTTTCTTATGTATTTTGGCCTATTAAACTCGAAAATCGCAATGAAAAATTTTTCTATGGATAGGTTTGTTTTATATGAATTTTTGAATTTTTCTTCGATTTTTCTCTGAGTTGCATTCACATTTTAGGCCATATCTTGAGGTAGAAACGTCCGATTGGGTCGCGCAAGGTGCCATATTAAAGGTAATTAAATTTTCAAAATTGCATTTAACACTATTTTCCAATCGGTTCAATAGTTTAAGTATGACAGGCCAATATATATGAGAAACTTCCATATTTCGGCTAAAATAGAACACAAAAATTTCTTCCATTGCTTTTAGCAGGCCAAAGTACATAGGAAAAAAATTGTGGCATTGAATGTACATTTTGGCTGTAAACTAGTGTAATTCTTTTTAAATTTTCGAACCCGGCTCCGAGAAGTAGCCATTTCTTCCATCCCCATTCCCCTCGAACGTAGAACTGTGAATTCGTAGATCGGACGGGATTATTCAGAACGATCCACGTCAATCCATTTCATTCCGGATCCAATAAATTGTTTTTGTCAAACATTAAAGCTATTACGAGACATGATAGCCGAGGGAAATTGCAGAAAATGGCAGCGGAGGCAGATCTGCGTCGGTGAATATTTTATGCACGGCACCGCGGAAACGCAATAATCGGGTCGCGCAAGGTGGCGCGTTCGCTGGCTCGCGTTCGTGCCAAAATTTGTGGAAAATGTTCTAATTGATGGATTCACGTTGATCCAATATCGCGATATTATACGTCGATAAACGAGTCCGTCGTTGAACGACGATGGGATTTGCTGAAACGCGTTCGTAATCTTGGGTTTTTGACGATTGTCTCGGCATCTTTCGTCATTATCCATCGCTTGTTCTCGAATAAACACGTCAGCTTTATTCGTAAATTCGATTATAAATTAGACTTTGTAAACCAATCTTTTCAAAGCAAAGGAATGAGTCTGCAATGTTTATTCGTTGTTCGCGAATAACATGCAGAGAGAGGAGACGAATGAAAATTCATTGTATCGGAATTGATTTGTTTCGAGTTCATTTTAATTTGTCTGACAAATAATGTCAAATAATGTGTGAAGATAAAGTAATATCACGAATGAATTTACAATCTTCATTTGTTATTCACGAATGACATGCAAAGAGCAGATATAAATGAAAATTCATTTTATTGGAATTTATATGTTTCCATATTCATTTGAACGTAACTGTGTCTGACGATAGTAACGTGTGAAGACAACGCAACATTACGAATGAATCTGCAATGTTTGTTCGTTATTCGCAAATAACATGCAAAAGCAAACACGAATAAAAATTCGTTGTATCGAAATTCACTTGTTTTCGAGTTCATTTCAATTTAACTGTGTCCGACAAATAATGTGTAAACACAAAGTAATATCACGAATGAATCTACAATCATCATTCGTTATTCGCGAATAACATGCAAAGAGCAGACAAATAACTCATTCTATTGGAATTTATACATTTCGAAATTCATTTCAATTAAAATTTGTCCGGCAATAACAACGTGCGAAAACAATAATAATGACCACCGAGAAGAACCGAGATAATCGGTCCCGAACAAGTATCGAAGGATGTAGAACTCTCAGCATGATCGCAACAAATTTCTGCCGACGGCTGTCGCCTCGTGTTTTCCTCGATCTAACTGCGGGCCAATAAACGCGAATACAGGTTCCTTCGAATTTAATGCCCTCTGTTACCGCAAAAGGAAAGATATTTCGCGGCCATAATGGATGTACTTTGAATAACCCATGGCGTCGCGATGAGTCGTCTCATGAAACTAC